GGGTAGGTGAGTTCCACTACAAGACCACCCAGCCCCTTCTTCACACCTCTTAGTTCTTTCATGCATGACATGGGCCCGCCCTGCCAACGTGTCGTGCTCCAAAATGCATGCGACTGATCACGACTCTGAAGTATGATCGGTTTGGATTTGGAGTAATTAGGAGTATTTGGTGTCGCTGGCTTTGCGTTGAGTTTTATGCGTTGCCTACGCGGATGTCGTGTTTGGATTGTTAGTCCACCCTTCCTCACTTTTTTCGCGTAAAAAAATCGGTCTGAAGGCTTTTCTGGCATTTATATTTTGACTTAGAAAGGTCTCTCATCTCTGACCTTTTCAAAACACGACCTGTGTCTTTGCATACTAATGTCCACAAGGTCCTTGGTATGCATGTCTCTTAAAAGTGCTTTCGTAGCTTTTGCATATTGTGGAACTTCGAAGGAGATTGAAACCTACAGAAATGCGAGTTTATTCAGGCGTGCATTTCTAACATTCGTATAACTTTTACATTTTTTCATTTAAGCCTCACATAGTTTGATACTTTACTTATCTTCCGAATGAACGTACTCAACAAACTACGAGTTAATCCTCCGAGGCAAATGTAACAGGGAAACCAATTTCAGGTTTCCTAAATCGTCACCTTTCTCCTGAGTGGCACTACCTTACCTTGTTATGGTGACCTTCGTCAGGAGACTAGTAGGCCCCAGTGCATGATTACTAATCCAAGTTGTTCTCTGAGACACTATCGTTGCAGACCCCAGCCCACCCGACGTCGACTTCATTACTTGACAGCACACCTTTTGTCAATGGCGTCTGAATTCCGACGTAGTACTTGGAGGAGACGCTCTACGAATACAATGGAATTACAGAGACCCTGGATGTGAAATGCTGGACCACCTACTCATGTTTTACATGCAATCGTAGCATTGATGTCGACGAGTTATTCGTCTTTATTGCATGTTGTATGGTGTCGCAATGGCAGGCAGGCAGACAAGTAGCCCTTGGTGGATCCGGAACTCCGCCGGGTGGGCCTCAATCCCGGCGGCGAGGAGGAGGAGGAGTCGGAGCAGCATAGTCCAGGAGGGACTGCTCTGTTGTCATAAAAAAAACACAGATGGAGAGGAGAAGAGATGGTCCACCATAGGGAGGTTGTTTAGCAGACCTTGGCCGCCCTGAGGGCGGGTGGGAACGCGGTCGAAGACGCGT